ACTATATCAGAAAGTAGAGTAGGGTTTGCAAGTTTATGTTGCCAGGTTGTTGCTGACTGTAGATATTCTTGGGGTAGAGTAGTGGAAGAATCAGAAATAACAAGGTGTTGTTGAAAGCTTTGCCTTAGAATTTGATAGGGGACCAAGGCGCATTAAAGAAAATAGTAAAATTCCAGGAAGAAAGGTGTTTGGCCATGGAAATTTGAATCAGTTAACTTATTTTTGGCAGAAATTACTACACTGTAGCTTTATTTTTGCTTTAAAATTACTACATTGCAAGCCTGCTCCACCTGTGTGAGATGGAGGGCGTACTGGCTCTTCCTGTGGAAGGCCAGTACTCAAGTTCACAGCAATGTTAGCCATTACTGATGGCCAGAAGGGTTAGTTACTCTTAGAAAACTTTACATTTGAACCATTTACTTGGAGCAGCTAATACTATATCCTATAAATGTTGCATAATCAGGCAGTGGGAAGTCAACACCAATGCTTGCTTTATATGGACATTTATAATGAATCTTTCTAGAAAGAAATTTTGCTTTGGCTGTATTTTCAATTACATTAGTCAAGCTCTTTTAGTAATTGCATGGTCTTTTCGTTCCCTTCAGTCTAGTTCTTCCATAGTATGCATATTTAAAATCAGTTTCCATAGTGACATCTGGTGGTGGTTTTGAAATCCTAGAGAGTATGTTTGGAATGATAAATATTTTACTTACTACCTCCAGATTTCTGGCTTCTTTTAAATTTTTTAGCTTATTAACCACTTTTCCAGAGAATGTCTCCATTGTATTCTTGAGGTTAGAAAGCCAGGGATTTATTACTTCTGTAGTGCTTCATTACAGTACAGACAAGGTTCCTAATAACACTGCTGAGTGAAGCTTGTCTCAGTTGGTCTTTTGTGTTCAGAATATATATATATATATCCTAGCATCACTGCCTGGTACACTGCTACCTCATGACATAATGGTGTTGTGTCTCTGTCATTCTTCCTGCTGGCTTTGCTACTCTGTGGATGGATGGATGGGGGGTATTTCATGGAAGGCCTGGGCTGCCACTGCTCTGTCTTCACAGCCTGGCCTTCCATACCCTCTGGATGCAGACAAGTGAATGAGGAAATAGAGAAGAGGAGCAGAGATGGATGTGAAAGGAGGGAGCTGAGAGAGGGAGAGGTATTTAAAGGCAGGAGGGAATCCATGTGAAAGAATCTGTGGATGGATGGGTGGATGTTTCAAAACTCCTTGCAGCTTTTCATCAAAACCCACCATGGCTCCAGCACTCCTGGTGCTGTGCAATGTCAGATGATGATGCTGTGGATCATGGCAATGGCACAGCCTGATGGTGAAGATCCTGAGGTCAGGAATCAGACTGTCTGGGTTTCTTAATCACTCTATTGCTTAGTAAGTTACTTAATTTATCCAGGCTTTTCTACCCTATGTGTGAAGATGACATGACAAGAATACCAGCTTCAATGTTCTTTAGATGATTTAATATATGCAAAGCCCCTCTAAAGTGATTGGCATACAGTGAACACTTGTTAATTGTCCTTATGAGTTTGAGGATCGGGTTAGAAGACATTATTCAGTAGGCACTTCTTTCCTACTTACAGCTGAAAGTCACTATAGTTTTCTGTAAGTTGTATTAAAGGTGTTCAGTTTTTATTTCACAAGGAAGTAATTAAAATACACAATCACAAGATGGTAATAGAAGAAAAAGTACATGATCCATGAATTCATGAAATGAGGGCACTGAGCATCTCCTTAATATTTAGTATTTCAGTTACTGGTTAATAACAATCCTAGTTTTATGCCGTATTTGAATAGAGTCACTTTGTTGTCTCACATTTAACCTTTCTTAATATCCAGAGATTGCTCGGGATCCTGAAATCCCTTCTCTGACTGTGGCTGGGACAGGTGGAGGGGAATATCACATTAGAAAGGCAGTGGTTGCCTGTCCGCCTGAGGGGGAGAGAGGCGTTTCCCGGCAGAACACATCTCATAATTATGCACTGCAGTCTGAACTCTTACAGACCAGACTAGAAATAGAACATGTTCGAAAATAAATACCTTGAGTCCTGCACTGTGGTATAGTAGGCAAAGCTGATGCCAGTGTCCCGTGTGGGTGCCCTTTCGAGTCCCAGCTGCTCCACTTCCAGTCCAGCTCTCCGCTAATGGCATGGGAAAAGTAGCAAAAGATGGCCCCGACTGGGCCGCTGCACCCATGGGGAGACAGGGACAGAACTCCTGGCTCCTGACCTTGTCGTGACCCAGCCCTGGCCTTTGCAGCCAACCAGGGAGTGAGCCAGCAGGTGGACTTTCTGTCTCTCCCTCTCTCTCTGTAACTCTGCAAAAGATTGACCAGAAAGATAGTGATGTTTGAAAAAATGGCTTTTAAAATCTTAATTTTAAAGCTTAATCTATTTTTTATTTCTTATTTCTCTTCTTTTTCAACCCTAGAGAAAACCATTATATATGAATGAATGTTTAATATACTGCTTCTGAATATTGACATAAAAAACTGGTTGAAATAGGAAGTTTGACTTGTCTTTTCAGAGTTACCACATTCCTTTTTGTTTGCTCTGCTTTTGTAATCCTAACAATAGGACCGACAGGGAATTTTGCTGGCACCGGAGTCAAGGATTTGTGATGTCTGAACTCCAGCTCTGCCATTTACTGTGACCCTGGGAAAGTTCCTCATGTCTCTGAGTCTGAGTTTCTCATCAGGGTAGACAGGTTGAAAGTAAAGATTAAATAAGAAGTTGGAGGTAATAACATTTATCACAGTGCCGGGCATGTGGGAAACATTGATCAACTTGTCTGCAATTACAGTTTTAAATAACGTAATCATATTTAGAGGGGCACACTCTTAAAAAGTGGCTAGATAGCTTGAAGTGTTGGAGGGTTAGAACTAAAAAGAGGTGAATAAAAGCACCATGTACCTTTCTGCTAGGATTTTTCTAATAATACACCTGTCAAATGATTTTTACTGCATTTTAATGAAGTGAGCAAACCCAAGAGCAGTGCCTGTGCGTTTTGTTGATGTGTAATTCCTCTGAGAGAGCGCCTGTTATCCTCTCCTTCCTTGTATCAGGTGGTGGGAGCAGTGAGTAAGAGAACCTAGCAAGAATTATTCTTTTAGACTACAAACTGATAGAGTTTTGCTAATTTAGTGAAAGGACTGAGTATGCATAGATATGTCTGGATCAGAGAAAAAAAGAAGCATGTTTGAAGTTATCTTCAGTTGTAGGATGCTTAGAGACCATTTGGCTCCTTTGTTTGAGTTCAGAAACTCCATTTTCACTTTCTAAAAGTGAGATTGTAGTTTCTTTTTGAGGGTTTAAAAGAATTAATTAAGCAATAATAGATCATTGTAATGCTTTTACATGGCAGTAAACACTCATGATAATATCTCTCACATTTAATTATTTAGTTTTCTATGTTGTAAGCCTTTTTCTGATATTAATCTCAAATAAGGAAATACTTAAATAATGATCAAAAATATAGATGCAGAATAGTGACTGTATGGTTAATGACACCATATTATGTTTTTGAAAATTGCTGAGAGTGTGGATTTTAAATGAGCTTACCATCAAATATAGGTAGGTGAAGTAATGCATGGTTAGCCATTTTACTACTCATATGTACCTCAAAACATCTCATATATATTACCAATTAAAAATCAACAGATACATACAAAAATAGGTTTTTGATTGAAATACATAATTTTGTAACTGTCCTTAGAAGAAGATACTTAGTATTTTACATCTAATGGGAAACTTAGTTGTGGGGTTTCCAAAGTCCAGTCTGGACTGTGGTGTTGTGAACATTAGAAGTATCATTAGTTTAGAATGATCAACCCAGAAGAAAAAAAAAATGTAGTGATATATTTTGTAAATGAAAGAGACAAGATTATTCTGTTGAATGAAAAGGTGGAATTTGCCTAAGAGAAATTGGTATTTCTACTTATAATCATCCTGAGAGAAGATTAATTTTGGGATTAAGTTAAAGCTTGACAGATTTCAATAGCTGGGCCAATATGTTGCAGATAATGTTACCTTTAACTCCCATCTCTTCTAGCTATGTTAATAAAAAAATGTATCCTAATTTGGGTCCCGATTGAGGATTTTTTGGTTCCAACCCATTAAGGTACTTAAGCATTTCCTTCAAATCATTTTATAAATAATTGTGCTTTGTGTGAGGTGCTAGAGATAATGGTATTTAAGAGGGCTGTGCCCTTGGAGTTTACAGCATAGCTGGAGAATTTATACTTTTATAGCATACTGGATATATTGTCATTTGCTAAGGCCACTGAACGAAGTAGAAGGACTTCATCATATAAGAAGTATGAGTAAGCCATCTCTTACTGTGGACTTTGAAAGTCATCCTGTTTTCTTGGCCACTTCAGAAGAGGTGTGTTTGCCACAGTGGGATGTGTAGAGGAGTCACTCCCGGCCTCTGGCCTGCCTCCCTAGACTGTGGCAGGGGTTAGAGGAATGCAGTTGGGAAGCACGGACAGCTGGACAGTGGGGTTGCAGATCTGGGCCATGGCTATGACTTTGTTGCTGGCTTCCTAGTTGGCCTTTAGTAAAGTCAGCTCATCTAAATCAAGTGTACATCTCATCTTTGGTAAAAGCAAAGTATTCAGCCATTAGATGATCTCGTAGTAACCATCTCTTTTGAGACTTATGCAGGTAATGTGTGTTTTTTTTTTTTTTTTTAGTACTGTATATATTGCCTGAAGCTAACTGTATTTATACCTACATTATGTGCCAAATAATGATGTGTGTATTCATTCAATCAGCATCACAGTAGCATGCCATTATTATTAACTCCATTTTAAGGGAAACAAAACTGAGGCACAGGGAGTTAGATAACCATCCCAAGATCATGGTAGTAGGGGGTGACAGCCCTCAGTCTGTGAGTTTTTATTACATTGGCTCTTCTCAGAGTGCCAGGTGTTGTTGCTGTCTACGCACTGCTTCATGTTTCCCTCTTCTTTCTCTGCAGGTGTCATAGAGACAGCAGACCGGCTGGACCGTGAGTCGACCTCCCATTACTGGCTGACAGTCTATGCAGCTGATCAGGGTGTTGTGCCTCTTTCATCATTTATAGAGATTTACATAGAGGTTGAGGATGTCAATGACAACGCACCACAGACATCAGAGCCTGTTTATTATCCAGAAATAATGGAAAATTCTCCCAAGAATGTTTCTGTGGTACAGGTTGAGGCATTTGATCCAGACTCTAGCTCTAATGACAAGCTGACGTACAAAATTACAAGTGGAAATCCTCAAGGATTCTTTGCAATACATCCTAAAACTGGTATGTTATACTTTGCTTATACTTATGCTTAGTCTTTGCTGCAAATTAGCATTTATCTGTTGCATACTTTTCTTTTTGATAAATATTATTCCATTTAATTTGTTCAGAGCATACCTTTATTTCTCAGATGAAAATTTAGTTCAAATGTACTTTTCTTCCCTCTTTAAGTTTGTTTTTGCCAAGTTATTTTATCATTTTGCTCAATAGAGGAATTTGCATCTTCAGGTTACAAAGCAGATACTGTGTCAGTGATAGCTCCTAAATTAGTGATATTCCTTAAAGTTGTAGAAAATTCTGCAGTTTAAACTTACAGCAAGTTCTATTAGCTGCTAGGTATTTGATTTTTTTATATTTATTTATTTGAAAGAGTTACAGAGTGAGATCTTCCATCCACTAGTTCTTTCCTCAAATGGCAGCCACATTTGGGGCTGGAGCAGACCAAAGCCAGGAGCTTCATTTGGGTCTCCCATGTGGGTGGCAGGGACCCAAGTACTTGGGCCTTTGTACCCTGGTTTCTCAGGCACATTAGCAGGGAGCTATATCAGAAGCAGAGCAGCTTAGACTTGAACTGGTGCCCATATGGGATGCCTGAGTTGCAAATGGTGGCTTAACCTGCTGCGTCACAGCGCCACCCGCTTCAGTTTTTTTATTTTATTTTTAAGGTTTTTATTTAATGAATAGAAATTTCATATGTACAGCTTTTAGGAATTCAATGTTTCTTCCCCTCATTCCTGCCCTCCTACTCCCACTCCCATTCCAACTCGTATTCCCTCTCCCATTCCGTTTTTCATTAAGATTCATTTATTTTTATTTTTTATTTTTTTTGACAGGCAGAGTGGACAGTGAGAGAGAGAGACAGAGAGAAAGGTCTTTCTTTTGCCGTTGGTTCACCCTCAAATGGCCGCTGTGGCCGGCGTGCTGTGCTGATCCAAAGCCAGGAGCCAGGTGCTTCTCCTGGTCTCCCATGGGGTGCAGGGCCCAAGCACTTGGGCCATCCTCCACTGCACTCCCGGGCCACGGCAGAGAGCTGGCCTGGAAGAGGGGCAACCAGGACAGAATCCGGCACCCTGACCGGGACTAGAACCTGGTGTGCCGGCGCCGCAGGTGGAGGATTAGCCTATTGAGCCACGGCGCCAGCCAAGATTCATTTTTAATTCACTGTATATAAAGACCAACTCTATACTAAGTAGAGATTTCAATTTTTTTAAATTCTCCTTTTGGTAAAGAGTATTAGAAGAGTCTGTTCATAACTCACTAGTTTTTAAATGTCATTTTAAATTTTTTCCATAGAGCAATGCTGTAATCACACATAGTCAGGGATCAGAAACAGTTTTCAGACTGAAAGCGGTTACTTTTTTGAACTGATATGTAAACCTTTTCTTTCTTAATTTTTCCTTCCTTTCCATGTCAGTGGCCCCTTACTTCTAAGAATATAGCTCCTTGACGATTAAATGATCTTCCAAAAGACTTACAAACTTCCGATCTTTGCTGTTTTATGTTTAACAGTATATTCTGTTTCTTGCTAGTTCTTTTGTATTATTTCCTTAAAAAGATGTTCAACATAGTTGTCACTGGGTAATGAGAACTTAGCTGTCCTCTGTGAAGGGAAAATTTTATATGTGACATGTAGTATCCTTTGATTTATTAGAAGAATTAAAATAAGAACCACTGTAGGACTTAAAGGGGCGATTTTATTAAAACGTCTTATCATACAGATTATTGACCTTAAACAAAAAATGTTATGCTGCTATTCAATACTTGTCGGTAGAATCTAATTAACGGAAAATTTTGAACCGAAAGATTTATACAGTAATTTATGTAGCTCTTTCATGCCTGTGCTTATTAGGGCTTTCCATATTCTAGGATAATTGGCCTGCTCAGTTACTGGGTTTCATATTTGATACATCAGGAAAATAATAGGCAAAAATAAAAATTAAGGAAGCATCCTCAAATTCCTTGTTAGCCTTTATTATCTTTTTTATTTGTGTCATCCTTAGTTCTTAATTCCTTTTTTTTTGAACTAGGAAACAGTTCTTAAGTTTGAAAGAGGCCTGAGGTTAAGATCTGTGTAGCAAATGTATATAGAAAGATAACCCAGTAGAGATTATATATGTCTGTAGTATTTTGCCTTTGGAAAAGCGTATTCAAATGTTAGTTTCCAACCTGGCTTTTATAAAGACTGGCTTTTGTGGTTGTTAGGAGTAAACATCGTTTAAGATTTATTGCATATATATTAGCTTTTACTTTTTGCTTTCAGACAATTCTGCTGTGTTCCTCTGATGGGGAAAGGAGGAGGGATTTGAGTTCTTAGAACACTGGTAATTAATTACTAAGTCTCTGTGTTAGAAAAATTTAGTTATATAGGAGAGATATTTACAGAATCTGAGACTTAATTTGAAAGCATTAGGGATATAGGACCCTGAGCCCAAGCAAAAGGGCCGGAATTAAGACAGTGCATGCAGACTTGAAACAGCCTCTGTGAATGATTAACAAAAGGCTTTTATTAGCAGTGTGGCTGTATATATACTGTTTTTACTGCACTAGTGGCAATTAATTGTTCATTTTCCCTTTTGTGAAATAAAATGAAAGGGAACTAAAAGCTAAAAATTAGAAACCATGTCATATATAAAAGAAGGAAGCTAGAAGTTTATAAGAAATTTTAGAGGAGGGTTTTGAGGTCTGGAGGTATGCCTGGAAGAGGGTTAGTCCCAGATCTGAGCAAGTGAGACAGTGAAATCTGTAAGTGAAAACCTTGAAGTGATGATGATCCCAATCTAAAACTGTTAAATGAATTAGACCTTATGGATGTTTTCATCCTTCTTATGTCTTCAGTCTGTCTTGGATTAGATTACATCCTCTCTGAAGAGACAGGCAAGCAAGCAATCAGTAAGTGTCCACCTAGATATCTAAATAGATGCTGTAGGTCTGAACTTTTTTTTTTTTTTTTTTGGACAGGCAGAGTTAGAGAGAGACAGAAATATCTTCCTTTTCCATTGGTTCACCCCCAAATGGCCGCTTCGGCCTGCGCACTGCGCCAATCTGAGGCCAGGAGCCAGGTGCTTCCTCCTGGTCTACATGTGGGTGCAGGGCCCAAACACTTGGGCTATCTTCCACTGCCTTCCTGTGCCACAGCAGAGAGCTGGACTGGAAGAGGAGCAACTGGGACAGAACCCGGTGCCCCAATCGGGACTAGAACCCGGTGTGCCAGTGCCACAGGTGGAGGATTAGCCTAGTGAGCCGCAGCGCCAGCCTGTAGGTCTGCACTTAATTGAAGCGAAAAGATGAGGAGAAACAAATTTAAAGAAATTATGTAGAGTTATTTTGGAGCCTTGAAACCTGGCTTGTTCCTGGGGCCCTTTGCAATGATACCACTGGGGTTGTGTATGTCTTCTGTGGAAACATGATTAATACAGTGTTTCCACTCCTTTTTAAATCTCTTTATTCTGAAGTCTCTTAGAAGAAATATCTGCAGAGACCTCTCTGCGCTTCCTTATCTGCAGCAGGAACAAACTCCACCAGGAGTCCACAGCTGATTCCCAGCCCTGGGGTGAGAAGTGCATGCAGACTGCTAGCAGGACAACAGAACGCTCATTAGGTTTACCCAGAGGTTTTACATTTTGTAAGTTGAAGGCTGATACCAGTGGAAATGTTGTGAAGTATATTATCCACTGTATGGTTGGTAAAGAAGTCTGTTAGAGTCTACAAGTCACCTTAAGTCTGTGAAATGCAAGAAATAACCATGTTTTATTTAGCAAGGACATTATTTAAGAACCTAGTAACTATGGCTGCACGGCTCCATCTCTAGAATATTCTGTTCCCTCAACTAAGCAGGAAGTTTAAGCTTGATCTCCAGAGTTCAAAATATTTGGGCTTCATCTTCCTCAGAGTCTTCAAAGCAGGCTTATTTGTAACAGGTAGATGAGTTGTATGAGTAAGGACTGAAGAGAGGGGTTAGATTGTGAAAGCTGGAGGGAGCAGTCTGCTAGAAGAAAGTCCTTGTGATTTACTTAACCCTAAGCACCACCTGGAGACTCTAAATCATGTTACTTAATAGTTAATGACCGAGATAGAAATTCAGTGGGCTGGAAATCAAGAGATCTGGGCCACAGGGAGGATTTACCTCTAGGGTCTTAGGAAAGACTTCAAGATTTACCTCTGGGTTCTTAGATTTTGTAATTAGTGGTAAGCATTTTTGCACTCCTATTAAGGTTTGCATATGCCAAGTGCAGAACACCGCCTCTTATCATGCATTACAGTAGCTCTGTTCATGTAAGCCAAGGAGGCTTTTAGTAGGTGGGTTGTATGTCTCCTTGGGATAAATATTTTTGAAAGAATATGATGGGTCTGTTTGCTTCTTAGTGGCAAAGGTAAGTTTGGGACCCTGGTGATATAAGTCCAACGGACTAGAGAAGACCTAAATTCGTCATCATTCAAGATATTTGTTTCTGTGTGAAGTATTGACTGTTTCTGCTGTGTATGGCACCTAAAGAGATGCTTGGAAAGTTTGTTAGTCTACAAGAGTGAAGCAGAGAAGAGAAATAGATGGTACAAGGTAGTGTGGCACAAACACATCTGGAGGAAGTGGGAAACTGACTGACATGGTGGATATATTTAGGAAGATGACATCCCTTTGGAAAAGTTATTGGACTGATTTTGAAGTTGTTATAAATAAGTGGAGAGGAGGTAGGGAATGTTTGTCATGTTGGGGAACAATTCAAAGGAGTTATGAGTATTGGCAACTGAAAGACAAAATTATGTGAGTGTATGGGAGTGTGACTGTACTTGATGGAAAACCTTGAGTACTAGAATAAGGGTTAAAATCATATAGCAGAGAGAAGATGAAGAAAGGTTAGGGCATGGGCGGAAGGGAGGGTAGGATGGGAAGTAGCACTGTGTTCCTAAATCTGTATATAAGAATTACATGAAATTTGTATAACTTAAATACAATTTAAAAAAATATATATTTTTTATAAATAATAACTTATTTTTGAGAGTCACTG